TGTATGCCCCTGTATGTCTCAATAATTCGGAATGCTCATAAATCTTATATCAGGGGCTTCTTCATAAAAATCGGTGCCCATGAGAAAAGAATTGGAATTGAGACAACCTCCTGCCTTCTTCAACAGATTCGTATCGTAGAACAAGATAGCAAGTCTAATCCTAATGATTGAGACTCTGCTGAACTTCGTCAGCTTAGGGAAGAACTTTGTGTACATTTACAGCAAGGCTTTGACTTTCATATTAAACGGCTACGTCTTAGCTGGTATGCATGTGGTAACAAACCAGGGACAATATTGGCCAAATAGCTTAAACAAAAGTTCACCCTTTCTACGATAGCAACCAAGGCTACCTAGTTACTAATCCCCAAGACGTAGCTAATTGTTTTAGTGCGTTTTACTCCAAATTATATAACTTAACACTATCTAATGCAGAGCCTACCCCTTGACTGGAGGACATTCAAAGCTTTCTAGAATCCATTCATCTCCCTACTATTACAAAAGAATAGCTCACAGATCTATCCCAACCATTCTATGTGGAGGAACTACTAAAGGCTATAACCTCTGTTCCTCTTCATAAGGCCCCAGGCTCAGATTGCTACTGTAATGAAGATTATAAAATCTTTGCCTCTCTCCTCATTCCTTATTTATGTAAATCTGTTAACAGGAGAGATTCCTATAGAATCACTAGCTCTGATGGCTACCATTCTAAAACCAGGCAAACCTTAGGTTGACCCTGCCAACTATAGGCCACTATCCCTCTTAAACACAGATTTAAAGTTATACGTGACACTTCTGGCTACTCGCCTTTCCTCCTATATCCCTGACCTGGTACATCGTGATTAAGATGGCTTTATACCTGGACAGCAAGCCTGTGAGGGTACCAGGAGATTACTGATCTTATTCAATGGTGGGAGCACCACAGAACACCTTCTCTGCTTATATCTCTAGATGCAGAGAAGGCATTCGACAGGGTACACTGAAAATATCTCAAAGCTGTTCTTCAAAAATTTGGCCTGCTGGAAACTATTCTATCAACCATCTTAGCTACAGTATGTACTTTACTCCCTCTGCTAGAGTATGGACTTCAGGTATGCTCTCAGAACCCTTCTGGATCACTAATTGTACCCGATAGGAACGCCCACTCTCCCCTATCATTTTTGCATTATTTATGGAGTAGAGGATATTAGATCACACCCCCTTATATCAGATATCAAAGTAGAAAGTGTTATTCATACAATCAGACTTTATGCAGATGATGTACTAATTGCCACCTCTAACCCTACTCAGTCATTGCCTGCCCTTTAATCTCTGTTAGAACGATTCAGTACATTATCTTTATATTAAACCAACTGCTCCAAATCAAGTATGATTGGCTAGATCCCATTGCTACTGTAAGTGCTCAATCTCGGCTGTGTCTCTATCACGCACCTGGTGAAGACTGGAATGTTATGGAGGACTCTCTTGCACCTCCTGCCCAACACTTCTGAAGGTGGAAACGGAGAGTGTGAGGACAAAGAGTGACACAAGTGCCGAAGTAGCTGGCTGGTGGTGTCAACTCTGTAGGTGGGTAAAGCTGGTAGTTGCAGTCCTCGGAATGGGAAGCAGGAGCAACTTAGCACCAGAGCAGAATATAAAGCAGGACCAGGAGACAGGCAGTCAGCAGTGTCAAGGCAGCGAGGAACCGAATCGGCAGGCAGAGCAAGTCCAGGACGCAGGCCAAGGTCAGTAACAGCTGGGCAAAGCAGTGGAGAATCAACAGGGAAAGGCAAGTCCAGTAAACAGGCCAAAGTCAGAGTAATCAGGTGAATAGAGTTTAAGCAGGAGTAGAATTGAGGTCCAGTGGCAAGCTGGGTCATACATAGGTAAACAGGTACAGCAGATCAGGTTACAGGAACAAGCTGGAGGCCATTCAGCAACTGCTCATAATGACAGACCAGTTTAAATAGTCCATTGGGCGCCAAGTATGCATGCTAATGGTAATGCACGTGATTCCATTTGCATGTACGCAAGCGCGCACAAATGTTCACGTGATGAACTGGAACAGCACATTTTTTGCTTCTTTGCTCTTAAGTATGAGCATGTAACCAATGCATAGGAATATGAGTCTGTACTGGTGTTTTGGTGCTAGGAATTCGGTTTCTCTCTTACAATCTCCTTTTCCATGTGCTCCGGTCTCTACATTGGCCTATCTAGAAATACTAGTTACTCCATTCTCCAACGTCTTAAAAATAAATCTAGAAAGGCTCATGAAAACATTATAGAACTTGTGTCTTCAACTATGAACTGTACGGGCCTCGTGGGCAGGAAAAATCGCACTGACAAAAAAATCTATCTTCTCCCACATATTCCATATACCTTTCGCACTATCCCTGTTACGATTTTACCTATCTAAACTACAATGGATTCTAAATCTGTTTATTTGGGATGGCAAACTCCCCCTGGGTAAGGAACTCTATCATGTGTACCCCAACACTACTAGCTGGCATGGGAGCCCCGGATCTGAAGTCTTATTACAAAGCAACAATTCTAAACCAAATTAAATCATGGTGGTCCTCTATATCTCAGACTTCCTGGATGCAAATTGAGCAAAAGGCTATACCTTGTCCACTTCAACAAGTGTGATCTGGTTATGCTATCACCCACCTTGTGTTTTTTTTTTGCATACGGTTAATGCAGTTTTAAAGACCTTGCTAGCAATTTATCAACTGTCATCCAGAATCTCAGGAGCAGCTTTTTTTACCTTTGCCTCTACTCACTTTGGAGACTGGACCTACCCCTTATCAACTGGTGTACAGTGGGTATCCTTAATATGGACATTTATTTGATGGCACACATCTGGCCCCCTTTAAATTCCTAAGTCACATCTACAATATTGACCATAAGGACTTACGTGTCCGACATATCATATCTTCACTCTTGTGGTCAACAACTACTCTATCCCTTGATATCGTACGCATTGTTGGATCAACCAAGTCTAAACATAAAAGGATCTCTAGTTTCTACAAGCTATTGATTCAACCCGCAGAATCACAAAAAAGCTTTCATTAATGGCTTACTGAGAAAGAAAGTTACACATATTACCAGACCTTACTCCATGGCACCGCTCTCTTAAAACTCTGCTAAAATCGCTTTCATTTATCCAGATGCTTCATCTAGCTTTTGGAGAAATTGTGGCCTTCGCGGATCCCCACTACATATCTGGTGGCTATGGAAAGACATAGAGCATATTATATTTCTGACTGGCATTCAATCTATTTTTTCACCACAATTAACCCTGCTGGGGTTAGATAATGATGTCTAGCCTAAACGGTCCCATACTATAATTATACATGTTCTTATAGCTGCCTGCTTTTCAGTGTCATGTAATTGCATGAATACTATACCAAGATTATATGTTTGTTAAGCCACATTTTACCACCTCCAAATTTTATGTACAGTGGACCCCTTGGCTTAAGGACCCAAGATGCGCTACCCTCTCATGAAAAATTGATACCCAATATATCTCTAATCTCCACATACATCCCCATTATACAAACCCAGCAAGGCTTATGTCATTTCATATTAGTAAGTAATTATGTTAAAGAGCTACTGCCTCCTTTTTAAAGTATAGATATTCAAATTAGTTACTTCTTAAGCTCTAGCAATGTGTATGACTGTCTGAGCTTCTCTACTGTTAGCCCTGGTTCACACTGATGCGGTGCGGCATTTGCAGTGTTTTCTGTGCGAATTCCTCACCGCATCAAAATTGCACCCTGTTCATGCTAAGCGCTGCAGCTGTGTATGTTAAGTTGACAACACCTCCAAAGCAGTCCGCAAAACGAGGTGCGATGTGCAGAATCGGATCGCATAGGTGTGAATACCCATGCAATCCGATTCTAGTGCACACCAACAAAAGGGTCCTGCACGTTTTTGGTGCGGGTGCGGTGCAAATAGAACCATACAAAATATATGGCTCCAATCGCACCGCACACAAACCGCATGTGATTTGCACAGGAATGCGGTTCGGTTCCCGTGCGAATCACACGCGATTTACCGCATATACAGGTATGTGAACTCGGGCTAAACATCACTACCTACCTTCATATAGATATTGTTTTACTAGGAAATAATTCTCTAGTTTCATCACTAATGACATAATTATTATCTTGATTCAAATGTAATTCTCTGCATATTTTTTTGCCTCTGTAACTATTGTTAAACTCAAATAAAGAATATGTTATAAAAAGCCTACCTATGGCTCCTATATTATATATTATATACTGTATTTATACTGTTATATACATAATATCTTGGCACCCTCTAGTGTGCTTGGTTTTATAATTGTTTTCCTCATTTGCTAATTCCTAAAAATCATTAATAATTGGGATAAAATTTTATATTTAGTCCCTTTTGGTGCCAATGTTTTATAATTTGTATTTTTCCTAGATTCTTTTTTGATTAATTCCTTTGTAACCTGCTTGGATCCTTATTATGACAGAGAAGTGTTTGGAAATATTATGCTTCTTGAATCCTGCCATAATGTTATAAATATGTTCTTTGATTTGTTTTGCCAAAGGTCTTTTAGTGTGTCCTATGTACTTTAGTCCACATGGGCACTGCAGTGCATATGGCACCTCTTCCTTATGACAAACAGCATTTGCGATTAACCTATATGTATAAAAAAAGAGTGAATCTTACAAATCCCAGTACAAAATATTTTGAAGCTACATCATGACTGCATAAACCTACTGTATTGTATCTTCTTATAAAGTAAATAAACTTTCAAAAACACTTTGCATATTCGCAACAAGTAAATCAAATTTTATTTGTTCCAGAAAAATATTCAATAAAACATCTGTGTTTTCAAGTTAAAAAAATGAAGCTATAAAGTTCTAGAATGAAGTCTTCTTGGCCTTTTCAAAAATCAATGATTGTCCATAATTTGCAGAATGGTTCTCTCTCACAAATCTTCTGGTGAGACTGAATGTAGTAGAATGGACTTAGTAAACATTTGTGAAGTGTCAAACATTGATGTGAATCTTCTGATGCTGGATCAGAGGTGGTCTGGATGTAAAACATTCATTACATTCAGAACATGCATATGGCTTCTCTCCCGTGTGAGTCGTGTGGTGCAAAGCAAGAGATTTCTTGTGTGAGAAGCATTTTCCACATTCTGAACACCTGAATGGTTTTGCTCCTGTGTGAATTCTCAGGTGTACAGTAAGATGTGCCTTGTGTGCAAATCCCTGGTCACATTCTGGACATTTATATGGTTTCTCTCCTGTGTGGATTTTCTGATGCCGAATAAGATGACCAATTTCTGTGAAGCATTTGTCACACTCTGAACATTTAAACGGCTTCTCTCCTGTATGAATCCTCTGGTGTGCAGCAAGATTAGCAGGGAGAGAAAAGCTCTTGTCACATTCTGAGCATCTAAAAGACTTCTCCCCTGTGTGAGTCTTCTCATGTCTGATTAGTTTTTCCTTGTGTGCAAAGACGTGTCCACATTCCGAGCAAGAAAATGGCTTCTCACCTGTGTGAATCATTTGGTGTCGAGCAAGATGATGAACTCTTGAGAAGCATTTGTCACATTCTGAACATTTAAATGGTTTTTGTCCTGTGTGGATCATCTGGTGAGTTTTGAGGCTTGACTTCATAGTAAAACACTTCTGGCACTCGGGGCACTGATGGGACTTGTCTCCTACTTGACTCATCATGCACTAATGAAGATCTTTTGTCGCCTATGTGGAAAATAAAAATAAATGTTTAGATTGGATTTTAGAATTATCGACAGAGCAAAGTAAAAAAACGTACAATTTTGCAATTAAAATGGTTACTGATTGCTTACAGTAGATCAGTTATTTTGATAAGGTGCAGCTATAGAATATTACATTGATTCTGTATCATTACAAAAAAAAATAGTCCCTGCAAATAAACAGAATAAATACTCACCTGTCCTGCTGTATTGATGTTTATTGTATTGAAAAGATATTGCTGCCTGAAGGATCTTTAGGACCTATCACATGCAGTAATGTTGGTTGTCTGGTTTCCCTCTGCATTCTGTAGTTCCTTCCACCAGCCCCTTCAGTAGTGAATGTCTACAAACAGTATTTTTTATGTTCGGCCCATTGGGCTCAACTAACAAAATAAAACTGATCCCTGCATGCACACAAATGAGGTGGCTGGAGGAATCCTCCCCACTGGGACACTTTTTTTTCTGACCGCAGCACCTACCATTATCAAAATATACTGTTCAGTGGTTGCAAATGATTGACTGCAGATCGGTGGAAAATTTTCCAAAATGTCCCATCATAAAAAGTCAATAAATAAGAATGTTCAGTTGTGTGGGGGAGGCAACACACTGATGCCCGCTGGACTGGAAAATGTCTAGGCTACTTATCAGCTGCTTAACAACCATCAAAAAAATTATTTTCTGGCAAGTAAAGCCCCGTACACATGATGAGAATATCGGACGAATGATCATCCATTTGTTTTTTGCATGCTAGTCTCATATCGAAAATGAATAGGTCACTAAAGTGATAAAAATTCAGAAGTGATGTATTGTATTTTCAGATGAAAGCTGTACTGATTAACCGATTGCCAACCAGCCACAGTAGATATACTGAGGCAGGGCGGCACCGTTGCGCAAAATCACATATATATACGTGATTTTGCATTTCAAGTAGGAGGTGCGCACTAGGCATGCGACCGCCCTACCCACGCCTCCGATCTCGGCCATGGGTGTCAATTACCGGTCCCGGCCGGTGATTACCCGCCAGATCCCGTCAATTACCAGCAAACACTGACAGGGAGGATGGCTGCATTGTTTTCAATGCAGCTCTCCTCCCTATCAGTTTGAGCACACTGATCTGGATGGATGAGCTCAGCCTTCCAGGTCAGTGTGATTACAGTGAAGCACACACCCCCACCACCTAGTGAAACACTCCCCTCACACAGTTGCCTTTGCCTCCAAATATTAACCCCTTCCTCCCCAGTGCCATTAGTACAGTGTCAGTGTTTGTTTGTTTGTTTTTGCACTGATCACTGTATTGATGTCACTGGGGATGCCAATGACCCCAAGTCAGTTCCCCCCCAGTGTCAGAATTTCCACCGCAGTCCCGCCATAAGTCGCTGATCGCCGCCATTATTAGTATAAAAAAAAATTCCAGTATATATACCGCCATTTGTAGATGCTATAACTTACATGTAAACCAATTAATTTACATTTCTTGGGATTTTTTTTTAGCAAAAACATGTCACAGAATACATTTTGGCCAAAATTTATGACAACATTTTTTACTGGACATGTTTCATACATGTCCAGTAAAAAAAAGTCAAAAAGTCCCAAAATATTGTTGTTTTTCTCAAAATTGTCAGTCTTTTTTTTTTATAGCCCAACAAATAAAAAACGCATAGGCAATCAAATACCACCGAAAGAAAGCTCAATATGTGGGGAAAAAAAGGACATACATTTCATTTTTGTGCAGTGTTGCATGACCGCACCATTGTTGGTTAAAATAATGCAGCACTGTAACAGAAACCGCTTCCTGAACGCCCTATAGCAGAAACACTGCTACAGGGAGGCACGGGTGTGCAAAATCACATATATATATACAGTTGCAAGAAAAAGTATGTGAACCCCTTGGGATTACGTGGAGTTTTGCATGAATTGGGTATAAAATGTGCTCTGAACTTCATCTAAGTCACAACAATAGAAGAACACAGTCTGCTGAACATAATACTACACAAACATTCGATGTTGCCATGGTTTAATTGCACATAACATGTAAACATTCACAGTGCAGGGAGGAAAAAGTATGTGAACCTTTGGACTTAATAACTGGTTGACCCTCCTTTGGCAGCAATAACCTCAACCAAAACGTTTCCTGTAGTTGCAGATCAGACCTGCACAATGATCTGGAGTAATTTTGGACCACTCCTCTTCACAAAACTGTTTCAGTGTAGCAATATTCTTGGGATGTCTGGTGTGAATCGCTCTCTTAAGGTCATGCCACAGCATTTCAATCAGGTTGAGGTCAGGACTCTGACTGGGCCACTCCAGAAGGCTTATTCTGTGCTGTTGCAGCCATTGTTTTGTTGAATTACTTGTATGCTTTGGGTCATTGTCCTGTTGCATCACCCATCCTCTGCAGAGCTTCAGTTGGCGGACAGATGGTGTACGTTTTCCTGCAAAATGTCTTGATAAACTCTGGAATTCATTTTCCCATCAATGACAACAATCCGTCCAGGCCCTGAGGCAGCAAAGCAGCCCCAAACCATGATGCTCCCTCCGCCATGTTTTACAGTGGGGATGAGGTTTTTGATGTTGGTGTGCTGTGCCTTTTTTTCTCACCACGCATAGTGTTGTGTGTTTTTCCCAAACAACTCAATCTTGGTTTCATCTGTCCACAGTATATTCTGCCAGTAGTGCTGTGGAAACATCCAGGTGCTCTTTTGCAAACTTCAAACGTGCTGCAATATTCTTTTTGGACAGCGATGGCTTCCTCTGTGGTGTCCTCCCA